GTCATGACTTGTAGTCAGCACTTACCAGTGGTTTGTAAGCGTGCGCTTCAGTGTGCTCCTCCATGATTTCTTGCAGCCTAATGAACCACACACTTGCACCTTTTTCTAGCCTGACACCTGATTTCCTCTGTTGTGCTGCTCCATGATTGGCTCCCAGCCTGCTGGACTGAAATTGCCCCAGTGTGCCCCTCCTTGATATCCCGCAACCCACCACCAGGGTTCCGACACATAACACACTTTTTTCAGGAAAGTAAACCTCCAGGGGTCCTTTCCATATTTTTACAGAGACTGCATAAGGACCGTTAGAAAAGCATTACCCATTGATTATTAAGCTTGGACCAGTGGGGTCCGGTGTTCGGGCCCCACCACGTAAAACCAGTCCCCATGACGTGAGTGGAATCTCAGGTTATGGAACCCACCAGGAGTTGAAAACAAGTGCACACACATACACATACACATACACATACACACACACACATACACACATACACGTTTTTGTTACCTGGTGGGTCCCTTTGACAGGGCCGTTCAGAATGGGACCCATAGACATAATCTTTTTTTACTGGGACTACTTTAAGTAATACAAAACAGTCAATAAAAACCAAACAACTATTTTAAAGGAATTTTATTTTAGATTTTTTTTTCGAATTGCAGTGATTCTATTTTTGACATAGAATTTAATGCCACTCCATGTCCGATGTCTAAGGTCATCTGGTGAGGCATTAATGCAGGCCAGGCAGTGAGACTTCCCAGGGACTTTCCCAGTCTGTATGAAAGGTGTCATGGTCTTCTCCACAGCCTTCACCTCAGATGCAGACCATGGCTTTCTCTAACGTTCTAGGGAGAGAAATAAAAATATATTAGCAATATACACTCCCAGGGTTAGGACCAAGCAGCCTGGCTGTAATCCCCCACCTGGTACACTTACCAGAAGGGGCACTGCCACTACCATGGGGTGCATCTGGATGAATGGTTGAAGGGTTCTCCGCTTGAAGTTTCTTTTAGCCCGTCCGTTTGTGAGAGGATCTCTACTGCTCTCCCTGTCGCACAGAAAATAAAAATACAAGTGGCCTTTAGGGGAAAAAAATCATACATATTTTAATAATATCAAGAATTACCTTCAGGCTCAATTTGTATCTGGTCGAGGCTCTTTCCTTTGAATTCCGTCACTCTTCCCTGCTCCATGGCCATCAACACTTTGCTGATTTTGGCCAGCTCCAGTGTCCCCTCTGGTAGTCTGTAATATTGCCTGTGGATGCGAATGTCATGGCCGAGGAAGTTGGCAAGTATGTCCATTCATTCTCTTTCATATTGAGAACTGTAGACATAGTAGCTATGTGCTTTCTAAGTTTGGTTGAGGATAGCATCTCTGGATGCACCGCACCACATTCTTTGGCTACCTGGCGTAGGGAGTCTGATCCCCTGATGTGGGTGTCTGCGCCCGGGCGGGAAAAGAAGTATGGGTTATGGTCAGAGATGGAACAGGCCCTTCTGTTCTCCACCAGCACCTCCATCCAAGCAATCATTTCAGGAGTCAAAAGAACCACCACTTTCCGACTTCTTTTCCCTTTCATTTCAATGCGTTGAAAATGCTGACACAGCTTTTTCTCAAGTTGGGACAGTCCCAGAGCAATGTCAGAATGGATCCCAGTCTTACTTCTTAAGGTAAAGGCTGTCAGTGGCATCTTTGAAACCTCACCTTCCCTTCTTCGATTGAAAATGATGACCTCACAAAGAGTCAAAACTGCCAGTTTAGACCAATGCTTAGACGTTGGCTCACTTATTAGGGTTTGCACATATTCAGGTCGACATACCTCAATATGTGCATGCATGGCTCTAACGTCCTCAGTCAGAGGGAGCAGGTCCGGAGTGTTCCACTTGGCTTACCGGAGGGTCTGTAGGGCAGCAGAAGAAACACAGACGTCCCACCTCTTCTCAAAAAGCAGCCGGCTTCGTTGGAGGTTTTTGATAAATAGTTCATCAACACAATGCTCCATTTTTGAGTCACATTCAAGAATATCTGCTAGCTTTCTGAGGCTATGGCCGAGTTTGAGGGCCAAGGATGGAGTCTTGTATTGATTTGTTTCCTCATCATATCCAGCCACAGACCTGACTGCATCAATCACATGGTTAAAGTTGGAAGGAATAAAGAAATCCTTAATTGTTTTCAGTTTCCCTGCGGTTTTTGCTTCGTTAATTAACCTACCGACTTCTCTCATTTTCTGCCTAATGTAATCATGCTTAGTCTTATCATGCCCGTGTTTTAAGTACAGGTGCTCTCAGTCTCAGAATCCCCTTTTCTGCTTTGACAACACCCGTGACCTCATCCTGATGCATTGCCCAAATTAAAGAGCACAGCTTTTTGCTGATGCCCTCCGGTACAGGCTGGGCTAGGGAGCAGAGGGACTGGACCCTACTTCTACCTGGTTTAGCCTGGGCATCTTTCTGTGAAAGCCGGCACCTGGCCACATGCCTCCACAGCGACTTTCGCTTAAGCAATGCCCCACAGTCTATACAGTGCAAAAACTCACTGGATTTAACTGGGCAATTTGGCTGTTTAGCTGGGACTAAAGTTCCAATGCCGGCCTTTAAAACCTCAAAATTGTGCTCACGGTTTCCACTATTCCTGATCAAATCAAACTGAAGTTTACGTGCTTTAGATTTCACAGGTAGAGCCAATGCTCTGGCTACGTCACTTTCATTTCCATGTTTTCTAGTCAAATGACGGGACATTTTGTGGCAGGACATTGAACAGTAGAGGCAGAAGTGTCTCTTGCTATAAACTCGCCCCCCATTTTTCTTCTTTTGCAGCTGCATGATAACAATCTTATTTGCCTTTGGTTCGTCACTTTCCGAGTCTTGAAGAAAAGTGTTTTTGATTTTTCTTTTTCCATACTTTTTTACAGGTTTCTTCTTGACAGTTAAATCGTCAGAATCTGAGTCGACTTCATCAATTAGGGACTCTTGACTAAGCTGCACAAACAACAAATAATTTGTAATCATTCTATATAACAATTTGAAGTCATGACTTGTAGTCAGCACTTACCAGTGGTTTGTAAGCGTGCGCTTCAGTGTGCTCCTCCATGATTTCTTGCAGCCTAATGAACCACACACTTGCACCTTTTTCTAGCCTGACACCTGATTTCCTCTGTTGTGCTGCTCCATGATTGGCTCCAGCCTCTGTTGTGCTGCTCCATGATTGGCTCCAGCCTCTGTTGTGCTGCTCCATGATTGGCTCCAGCCTGCTGGACTGAAATTGCCCCAGTGTGCCCCTCCTTGATATCCCACAACCCACCACCAGGGTTCCGACACATAACACACTTTTTTCAGGAAAGTAAACCTCCAGGGGTCCTTTCCATATTTTTACAGAGACTGCATAAGGACCGTTAGAAAAGCATTACCCATTGATTATTAAGCTTGGACCAGTGGGGTCCGGTGTTCGGGCCCCACCACGTAAAACCAGTCCCCATGACGTGAGTGGAATCTCAGGTTATGGAACCCACCAGGAGTTGAAAACAAGTGCACACACACACACACACACACACACACACACACACACACACCAGTAAAACAATAAAACCATGATGAGAGACTTGGCAGGGTTCAGATGCAACCAGCTGAAAAAGCGTCATCCTAGGAGCCGTCTGCACCAGGAGCAGAGAGCCGCCCGTAGCCACAGGGGACGACACAGGACCCAGAGGAGACATGAAACCGAGGCCCCAGGCCCCCACCAGGCCCAAGAGTCCGACCCCCGCAGCCACACCGACCACTGCTCCCGGTGCAGAGGGCTCCTCCAGAGGAAACACTGGGTACACTAAAAACAATACAATAAGTAAAACACTAAAATGTGAGACTAAAAGGAACACACAATACATGAATAATAGCAATATAATAAATAATAAATAATAAAAGATAAATAATCTGATCTAGTTCAGGTTTGGGCCCGGGCTCACAGAAACTTACTAAGCGGTAGGGGTCCAGTCTAATGTTGGTCTGAGTCCGGTCTGGGTCCAGTCTTGGTCCAGTCTTGGTCCAGAGTCTTGGTCCAGTCTTGGTCAGTCTTGGTCCAGAGTCTTGGTCCAGTCTTGGTCAGTCTGGGTCCAGTCTGGGTCCAGTCTGGGTCCAGTCTTGGTCCAGTCTTGGTCCAGTCTTGGTCCAGTCTTGGTCCAGTCTGGGTCCAGTCTGGGTCCAGTCTTGGCCCAGTCTGGGTCCAGATTCTTGGTCCTGTCTTGGTCCAGTCTTGGTTCCAGTCTTAGTCCATTCTGGGTCAAGTCTTGGTCCAGTCTTGGTCCAGAGTCTTGGTCCTGTCTGGGACCAGTCTTGGCCCAGTCTTAGTCAATTCTGTGTAAAGTCTTGGTCCAGTCTTTGTTATGAAGCTCATGCGGATGTTCAGACTGAAAGACCGAGTGCCTGCCAATCTCACAGCTCTGCCAGCCTCGAGCCTCAGCCAATCTCACAGCTCTGCCAGCCTCGAGCCTCAGCCAATCACACAGCCAGGCCAGCCTCCTGCCAACCCTCTCACAGCAAAGCGGGCAGTTTAAAAGGCAGCCACTTCCTGACAAACAGCGCTTCCTGAGGCTCTTAAACACCCACCACCTCCCCAGCACCCCCTCTGGCTTCTGGCTCCCGCTCTGGCTCCCGCTCTGGCTCCCGCTCTGGCTCCCGCTCTGGCTCCCGCTCTGGCTCCCGCTCTAGGCTCCCACTCCGGCTCCTGCTCCGCCTACGCCCCATTCACACCATACTCTAGCCACCACCAGTGATTGACCCCGGGGGATCTGAGATCATCTCAGCTGCAATCGATCTCATTGCTGCAAGTGTCACTGCCGGGGTCAACGCGCCAAAGAAATAAATCATTTTAATGTATTTATCGTGTCTTTGGTCTCTTCAGATTGAACCAGTTTAGTCCATTCTGGGTCCAGTCTTGGTCCTGTCTGCGTCCTGTCTTGGTCCAGTCTTGGTCCCGTCTCGGTCCCGTCTCGGTCCAGTCTCACACACACTCACTAAGCCAGCGTGAGCTTGTCCAGGTCGCTGTGTCCGTTGAAGGGGTAGACCTCCCTGAGGTGGAAGAGTTTCTCCAGAGCCTCGTAGATGAAGATGAGGCAGATGAGGGCAGCGAAGGCCTCCTCAGTGAAGCGTGTGATGTAACAGACCAGAGAGCTGGCGTCTGTGGCCACCAGCAGCAGGCACAGGAAGGCCGTCCACAGACCGATGCAGGTGCGCAGGGACAGGTAGGACAGGCCGTAGTCCCTGCACCACACACACATGACACACACGACACACACATGACACACACGTAACACACACATGACACACACATTACACACACGTTACACACACGACACACACATGACACACACGTAACACACACATGACACACACATGACACACACGTTTCACACAGGTTAAACACAGGTTATACACATGAGCGGAACATGGAACATAAGATAAAAAAAAGTTTGTTTTTGATGTAAAAATACAAACTGCTGCAAGCTAACAGTGTGTTGCAATGGAATTTAGCCCTGTTTTTTCTCTGGCATAATTTGTAAATTCAAATGAATGGAGCAGTCAGATAAATGCTCTAATAACCAAGTAGAACTAATCACATTTCAAAAATAGAGAAAAATGTTATAAAAGTGATTACATTAATAAACATAAAAAAGTTATGAAGACCACAAATTAAAATGTGCTGAGTAGTTACGCTTACAAAAGCCTTCACTTTGACTGCTCTGGGAGTTCTATTGTTAAGGATCGCCAATGAACTAGCATAACATTTATTACTTAAAGATCACAAAGCATGAACTGATAATAAATGTGGATGAGATGAGGCTGGACTCACCTGCAGAATCTGAAGAGGATCTTCTCAAAGACCAGGACTGGACCCGTGCTGCCCAGAATGGTGAGGGGCTGCCCGGCAAACAGTGAGTAGGCCACTCCAGTCATGGAGGCCCCCAGCAGGGACTCAATGGCACTCTGCAGAACCAGAGCATGGATCAGTGCAGTTGTGATGACGCAAATCTAGTTGTTCCTTAATATATTAGGCATAAACCAATAGATTTAGAAGAGGACATTTAAATATACAGTAATAAGACTCATAACAGTTTGCTTCTATCACGAGTTCACATGCATGTAATTTTGGTCACATCTTTAGATCAGCTTTTTCAGACAGAAAAGTGAAAAAGAGAGGACTTCGCCAACTTTCAACTTTCAGCCCAAAGTGTCAAATAGTGACTCACAGGGTTCTTTCTTAAACAAAAAGTACCATGTTTTTTAAAAAGATGGAGAAAGCATGCTGTAGTCTGATTTGTTCACATAAACTCCATCTGTTGGGAAAAACAACATGGATTATTCATGAAAAAAAAAAGTTCGGGGCCCCAGCTTTAAAAGTACTTATCTGGAGTCCACACTATAATTTTTGAGTGTGTATATGGCTCCCAAGCATGACAAGATTGCGTCTATCTCGCTTAACAATTGTGATTTCTCTCCACTGGGTCAATAGGAAACAGCTTTGTGAGGAGATCAAATGGTCCTGTAAATATGTCTGTCTGTTTTTTCAAAATCACAGTATTTTAAATGTTTGAGTTATGTGTTGGGGCCTTACGATGCGTCCCTCTGTGGCCTCTCCCAGCAGCCCCCCGAAGGTGATGACCGGAGACATGCAGGCACAGTACAAGAAGAGAAAGGAGGCCACGCACTGCAGGCTCAGGCCGTCTCTGTAGTCACTCAGATAAAACGGAGCTTTCCTTTTGATGTCCATGATCAGACCTCCAAACAACCTGAGACACAACAACAGAAAGGTCATTCCGTCGCCCCGAGATCCTCAACATACAAGGTGATAGTCCACGACACCCGACATTCAACGACATTTATGGACTTAATATGAACATTGGTCATCTGCCTCTTATGCACCAATGGTTATATTTGGTCATCTTTGCATTTCTTGTGTATTAACTGTTTGATTCTCTGATCTGTGTTGGCGAATTCAACGGTTTTGTAAATTTAGGGCCATACAAAAATAAATAATCATAATTGAATTCATTCTGAACAAGGGAGTGGCCGATTGATCAGTTTGAAGATTTTTCTCATGGATCTCTCACATAAGATTGACCACAAGAAAATCCGTCTGCGAAAGCTGAATCGCAATACAGGCTGTATGTGTCAGTGAAGGTTTACCGGCCGGTCCTCTGCAGCTCCGGCCCGTGGTGCTCCGCCTGCTCCTCCTCCGCTGGACACACGCTGCCGTTGGACACCGCCGGCATCTTCCTCTTCTCCTGAAATCACAAAACCTCTCATCTTTTATTCATGCTCCAGTCTGTTCAGCGCAGTCATGATTATCACTACAGGAACTTCAGGATCACGAAGCAGGAGCGGAGGTTTTTAGATGATATGGTATGATTTGTGTTTTGTGCGTGCAGCAGGGGTCTCAACAAGGGTCTCTCTGGTGCGATGACGAGCGTGGATAGTCTTCCAGTCTGAAGTTTCGCTAGCATGTTCGGTCATTGCAGGTGACATCGATACATCATTGTTACTCATCAAGAAGCTGAGGTACCTAACTTATTCAGATTATTTTTCATTAATTTTGGCCTGTTTCAAATACTTAGATTAGACAGAAGACCAGCCAATCAGACCGAAGCCTCAAATAGTGACTCACAGGGCTCTTTCAGACAAGTATGTAACCAATTTTTAATGTTCCCATGTAGTATCTATAGCTTGTGTCTTGGGGGGTCACCTGCGAGGGCACGTTCTTGGGTGGCTCGATGCGGATGGAGGGGTCCCATTCTCCGGGAGGCAGCACCGTCACCTGGTCCAGGAACTCGTCTATCCCGGCCAGAAGGTCATTGCGGTCTTTGGCCTTGTACGCCACGTCATGGAAGATCTGAGCACAGACAAACCGTGGTTCTGCAGACATGGAGCTACAACAGGACCTGGACTACACTGCAAGAGCTAAAGGACGTATACACCGACACCCAGAAGTACAGGGGTGATGTGCTCCCGTTAAGCTCGTAGAACCCAAACATAAAAATATTTGTTGCAAAAAAAACTATTTGCGCTATTTTTTGTTAATGGAGTTGGGTAAGAAAAAAAGTAAAAGTTAAACATTTTGGAAAGCAGTATTCAATGACTACATTTGGAAAGGTAGCATATTTGCTTCTTTGGGTTCTTTGGCACTAAATAAACACTGGACACTAAACAAAGGACAGTGGTTATGATCCAGGACGCTTAACATTCAACAACACTTGGTGGACATTGGTCATCTGCCCCTTATGGACCAATAACAATGTGTTTTCTGTTCTATTTCTTAGGTTTAACTGATTGATTCTCTGATCTGTGTTGGTGAATTCAACTGTTGCGTGAAGTCCTCCGGGATTACGGGTGTTAGGACTTTACAAGAATAGGTTATATTGAATTGAATTGAATGTATTAATATCCCCATGGTTGAATATCCCTGTTTTGTCTTGGGAGTGAGCGGGCAGAGGTGAGACTGCAGCTTCAGACCTCATCATCGCTGCGTCCTGTGTGGTGCATCGTGGGTAATTAGTCTCTCACCTCATCCGTCATTATCGTGGCCATGGAGCGTCCAATTTCGTGGTACTGTTGAGCCTTCCCGTTCGGGCCCAAGAGGATGAAGAGAAACCTGAAGTAAAAACATAGCGTAGGGATTTGTTTTTGTTATTTGTTAAATATTCATGCATCATTTATACTGTAGCTAGTTAGCGCTTATTCACTACAGTCTGTGCTATCCACTAAAAGCTGTCAAACCAAGGAGACACGTCGAAACCATAGACTGTCATTGACTTTGAAATGAAGACACGCATGGTCTGGTGTGAACGCCCCTTAACGCTCTGAACCAATGCGAAGCTGGGAAACCTTTTGAGCCAATACAAGTCCGGAGCTTCTGTGTTGTTTGCCCATCACTAATTGTGCGTCAATGTGTCATAATTGTCTGTGTTTTATGTTATTTATTGTAATATCTGTAATAAAGAAAAACGAAATTTAAAGTCGAGGCTGGGGGTACCTGGTGGGGATGGGCACCTCGGTGAGCCCCGTGAGCAGCACCGCCGGAGACAGACGCACAAAAGCCACGATGGGCCGCTCCAGGAAGTCCAGCTCTCCCACCAGCACGTTGGAGGCCTCTGCTCCTTCTGGAATCTTCTTCATGAAGTGCATGTCCACCTGATGCAGCAACAGATTCAACATCAGGACTCACACCCATTTCCACCAGCCATGTAATCGGCTCTACTGTTCTCTAGTTCACTCTACTCGGCTCTACTCGGCTCTACTCGGCTCTACTCGGCTCTACTCGGCTCTACTCGGCTCTACTCTACTCTGCTCTACTCTGCTCTACTCTGCTCTACTCTGCTCTACTCGGCTCTACTCGGCTCTACTCTACTCTACTCTACTCTGCTCTACTCTGCTCTACTCTGCTCTACTCGGCTCTACTCGGCTCTACTCTACTCTACTCTACTCTACTCTACTCAGCTCTACTCAGCTCTACTCAGCTCTACTCAGCTCTACTCTACTCTACTCTACTCTACTCTACTCTACTCTACTCGGTTCTATTCTACTACTCTACTATACTCTACTCGGCTCTACTCTACTATACCTGTTTCTACTCAGCTCTACTCTACTCTACTCTACTCTACTCTACTCTACTCTACTCGGTTCTATTCTACTACTCTACTATACTCTACTCGGCTCTACTCTACTATACTTGTTTCTACTCAACTCTACTTTACTCTACTCGGTTCGACTGATTACCCGGAGTCTGTCTAGTCAGAGTGCTGCTGAAAGCTATAGTGACCAAGTAATTTCTATGGGTACTGTTTTGTTTTGGGTAGGTTGCAAGGATAGGATTCGAGATAATAAAGTGTACTGGAAACACAACCAGGTAGAGAAGAGTTGAGTAGAGTTGAGAAAGGGCTAGTGGAAACTGGGCTTAAGTTTGGTTCCAGTTGATTTTAGTCTGTTAATCATCTAATTGACCTTTACACAATAATTTAAAGAAGACTTACTGTTCAAAATCAATGTGTTTCATATTTTTACCATAACATTGTCCCTCAAACTGTAATTAGGAACATCAGGAACTTCTGGCACAAACATGTAACTCCGCCCCTTCAGTCTAAAAGCTCCTATGACAGCACCACTATGACCTCACACTTATTATTATTTTTTTGACTTTCTTTACAATCGCATGTCTTTGAAAAAAACAAATACAAATTCGACTCCTCCCAGGGTAAGTTTGAAAATGGTGAAAATTGGTCGCTTTGATATCTCCATTTGTCTCATGAAAACTACAGAAACAGCTGACTTTATTACTGTAGTCGCCCGAGTTACTGCTTCCTGAAAACTACCCTGCCCTCCCGACATAAAAAAGACCTTCACAACACTTTCTTGTTCAAATCAAACGTTTCCTTCTGAATGAAAATGCAACCAAGCCACGCCTTCTGCTTCCACCTATTGTGCTTATATTTCTGAACCAGGAATGAGTGAATGCTGTGTGTGTGTGGCTTGGCAAGTCTAAGAGGCAGTCACCGATTGTTTTTCAGCCAGTGGAAAGTTCTATTGACAACAAAGGAACCTCTCATCAAGAAAGAGGTTTTCTCTTACATCATTTAAAAGTAAAAAAAAATTACCGTGGTTCAGTGAGCGGCTATGGGTCCTAATGAAGGATAGAGATGCTTCCCTAAAAAAGTATCTCAAGTCAAATTTGAGAACTGACCGAATGATCTTTAAAAGCCTCAGAAACAAAGTAACTGGACAGCTTAGAAGAGCAAAAGCGGACTTCTTTTTGGACATTATTAAACAAGCCAAGGGTAATAGTAAAATTATATGGAAGTGCATAGACAGTCTCTCTGGGAAAGAGCGGACTGGAAATGGACCTATTGAACTTAACATTAACCCTTGTAATACTGGAACACTCACACCTGTAACACAAGTCACCACAAAGGACAGCTCAACTATCGCAAACATGTTCAACGACTATTTTATCTCTTCAATCTTGGAATTGCGTAAATCCTCAAGTACGGAGTTGCATTTAACATCATCTGCAGCCTCTATTAGGGCTGTGGCGACGCGGCCCACAGATGGACTACAATCCATTTCTGTGGAAGCTCTAGACTTTGAATCTGTGAGCGAAGGCGAGGTTAATAAAATAATTTCCTCACTTTCAAATTCGAGAGCCAAAGATTGTTGGGGATTTGATTCACTCCTTCTAAAAAAACATAAAGAGGTTTTCACTGGTCCAATCACGTACATAATTAACCAATCACTAAGAGAATGTGTGTTCCCCTCCTCTTGTAAATTTGCAGTTGTTACGCCCATTTTTAAGGCAGGTAACAAAAAGGAATTGATAAACTATAGACCAATTAGTATACTTCCTACTGTCTCAAAAGTTATCGAAAAAATTGTTGCGGAACAGCTGGTGGAACACCTTGACAATAGAAATATGTTACACCCCATGCAATTTGGCTTCCGATCAAAACATTCCACCGATACAGCCTGTTGTTATCTTCTTGAGGTGATTAAGTCCAATCTAGACAAAGGAGGGGTGGTTGGGGCCATTTTTCTGGATCTGCGTAAGGCTTTCGACACAGTTAACCACTCAGTGCTGCTAACAAAACTGTTGAATTTTAATCTTTCAGCAAACACTATTAGTTGGTTTCAATCTTACCTTGCAGATCGTTTTCAGTGCGTAAAAATAAATGATAAGATCTCACCTTTTAGCCCCTGCACTACTGGTGTACCACAGGGGTCTATCTTGGGGCCATTGCTTTTTTCTTTGTACATCAATGACCTACCTTCCATCTGTGATGATGTGGAGGTCTTGATGTACGCTGATGACACGGTTCTATTTACTCACAGCTCTGATGCAAATCTTGTCGCAGATAAATTATCTATAGCTTTGAATAAAGTAAAAGAGTGGTTGAACAAGTCAAGCCTTACGCTGAATTCAGAAAAAACTGTCACTATGTATTTTTCCAACAAAAGAAAGAGTGTTCTTCCAAATATCTATGTGGATGGTTTGATGATCAAAAATGTCCAAGAAATCAAGTACCTAGGTGTAGTGCTGAATCCTACCCTTAATTTTAAAAACCATGTTAAAAAGGTTTGCCGCGTTCTGAAATTTAACATCGCCAACTTCCAGCACATCAGGAGCTTTTTGTCATTGGAAGCAGCTACATCATATCTTAATGCAATGATTATATCTCATATCATGTATTGTGTGTCTTCATGGTCTCAAGCTAAAACAACGGTTTTAAACCCCCTTAGATCGTTGTATAACCAGGCTTTGAAAGTCCTGGATAAAAAGCCTCGCCGGTACCATCACTGCAATATACTTGAAAAATACAGCATACTAAGCTTTGACAATCTGATTAGGTATTCCAATGTACGTTTGGTTCATAAGATTCTTAATGATACTGCCCCACCCCCCCTAAAAACATATGTACAGCTTCGCTCACAGCTAACCAACAGAGCATTAAGATCTGTGTCCAGGGGAGACTGCAATGTTCCTAAGAGAAAGTCTGCCTTCTCTCAATCAGCCTTTTCCTACAAAGCCACTAAAGAATGGAATGGGCTCCCAGACAATCTAAAGAACAATGCAGATTTCCACAGTTTTTCACGGGCAGTTAAAGACTGGCTTTTAGATCAACAGTCCTGCTCGCACTAAAAGTACCAGATGGGTACTTGGCCATCAGGTGTTACCCTCGCGGGTATCGTCTGATGGCCACCACATCACCACATTATTAGTGTTAAAAACTATTGTATCTATGTGCTAAGTATGTATAGCTACAAAATAATTATGAAAACTGTTGCACTTTATCATTCTGCACTTTATGAACGCAACTGGCACTTTTCATCTGCACTTTTACTATATATTGCATGTTTATTGTCTATGTTTTGTATTGTAATTAACTCTGCTATGTATTTTAATTGTATTTTTGATTGTATAAGGACTACAGATGGAAATTAGCATTGTGCTAAATCTGGGGCAGCCATCTTTTTAATGTACCTGTCCGTTGTCCTTTTAAATAAATAACTAAACTAAACTAGAAAACGAGAAAATATGTGCAGATGGCAAGTTTAACTCCAAGGATCAAAATGCATCTCCATCTTTGCTCTCTTTCTGATCTCTCTCTGGTCTCTCTTTGGTGTGTCTCTCTGGTCTCTCTCTCTCTGTCTGATCTTTCTTTGGTCTCGCTCTCTCTCTCTGGTCTCTCTCTCTCTCTCTGGTCCTGTGGAAGCAGAGCCACTCATGACTTCACCTACTGCACCAGACCAGGAGAACCAGAGCTGGGCAGAATGCATGATACTAATGTTCGGGACGTCCAAACTTTCACACCACTATGCATAGTACATTGTTCAGTAAATGTTCACCTTGCTGAGATCCGGATGTGCGTCTGGGGCAGAGCCGTTCTTGTGTTCAGCGTTGAGGGCGTTGGGCTGAAGAAGAGCCGTGTTGCCTGCAATCAAACAACTAACTAACTAGGAACATTTATGCCCATTTACTCATAAACAGTTCTGGACAGTGGTCATCCTGCTTCCTATGGAACAATGGCTTCTATGTGTTTGTTTTTTAGGCCTGCAACACACACCCCCAGTCCTCGTTCTACAGCCTGAGTCCTGGATCTACGTGGGAGTCTGTTTCTCGATGGGAGCAGATCCTTCTCTCAACATGGGCCTTGCTGAGGTTTCTCACTATATTACCACAGGGTTTTTTGCTGATGCAGGAGGGTCTAAGTGCAATGATGATGCGGCACATTTAAGGATATCTATGGAAATGTATTAACATTTATGGACAGTGGTCATCCCGCTCCCAATGGACCAATGTGTTTGTTATTATTGCTTTTCCTGTGTTCGAACTGTTTGAGTCTCTGATCTGTTGTTGGTAAATCAACAACTTTGTAAGGTCCTCCGACACAACTGCTGGCGTGATTTAGGGCTGTACATAAAAAAGGAATTTATGGGTTAAAGTAAACAAATGATACCAAAATTATATCATTATTTAAAATTAGCACTAAACTTCATTTTGCGCTTCCTGACCATGCGTTCTGGTGCTAACGAAAGACCACTTTTCTCCAGGACAGTGTCTTGTACCTGCGAGGACCGGCTCCGACTGTTTGCGGGCGCCCTCGGTGATGGAGCGCACCATGGGAATCAGGTTCTTCTTCTTCTCGTTCTGGTGCTTGTGTCGCTTCAATAAAGCCTCGCGCACTTTCACTCTTGCGCTGTCGTCCAGCTCGTGTGACGCCTCCTGCTGGTCCAAGACCATATCTGCAACAAACACGACAGTTACAACAAACTGAACTGACCGACAATGATGGAAGAGCAAAACGTTTGGTGTAATCCAGAATTACAGAAGGGAAAAACATTGTTTATTCTTCATTGACAATTTTATTAAGACAGGGCCAGGTTTTGTCCAGTGAAATATGAAAGAATGTGGGCCTCCGCGAGGTCTCTCACTTTTCCCACTGGGTTTAGAGCTATTCCTTGCTGATGAAGGAGAGTCTGTTAGGGCCTTGTGAGGTCTAACTAAAAGGACAGTGGTGATGATCCAGGACACTCAACATTCAACAACATTTATGGACATTTTTTTTATCAACTCTTATGGACATTGGTCTTCTGCCCCTTGTGGACCAATACCAATGTGTTTTCTGTTTTATTTCTTGTATTTGAACTGTTTGATTCTCTGATCTGTGTCGGCGAATTCAACAATTGTGTAAAGTCCTCTGAGATAACTACCATTGTGATTTAGGGCTATACAAGAATGAATTGAATTGAATTGAAAGACTTTTAAATTACTGGGGGGACAGTAGCTCAGTTGGGAGAGCATTTGGGCCTGAAGGTCGTGGGTTTGAGCCTACCATAGGACCTTCTCCATCTGCTCCCACTAATGTCTGCTGTCGTTGTGTCCTTGTGCAAGACGCTTAACCCCACATTGCCTGAAACTCCCGCTGAAACACCTCGGCTGTAGTACCACTGACGTAGCAGTCATCTTCTTGTAGACTGTGGACCACCTGCCGGAGGATCAGCGAGGGACTGGTGCTCTGAGCATCGGGTGGACGCTCGGATTGCCCCCCTCCTGACACAGAAATTGACTAATAAAGCGGTAGGTAGAGAATGAATGAATGACTTTTAAATTACACTTTGGTAAATACCACCAAAGTTGAAGAAGAACAAGGAAGGACGTTTAATGAATTCAGATGCACCTAATAGACTATATACAGTGCCCCCTAGCTCAATGAAACCCAATAAGAAAGTACTCATGCCTTCATTTCATTTCATTTTCTGACTGTTGCACTGAGCCAAAGCAATTTCCAAGTCTGTGACCTCCTGTTACTTACGTGGCAATAAAAAATATTCTGATTCTGATTCTGATTCTGATTTGCAGGAAAACACCTGAAGCTGAGGCTGATGGTGATGTATGTATCAGAGGTAGGACTTGGTCTGGCAGATGAGAGTGAGCACCGAGAACCATATCTCTCAGTCTTCCAGAGTGAATTTCCGCTTTAGCTGCATTTTGAACATCAGTCCTCCTCACTGGCAGTTCTACGTTCGCGGAACAATGAACACAAACAAAGCAAACATCTACGGTACACATATAAAGCAAAACAAACAAACTATCCCTGAGAGCTTCAATTCACAGCCATCTCTTCTCTGAGGGCAAAAACCTGCGCTCTCCTTTAGTTATCTCACAATTAGCCCTTTCACACAGCGATGGGAATCTCTCAGGAGCAAGATAATGACTCATCGGCTCCCGGGCCAATTAAAATTACATGAGCAGAGGAAGAGGAGTGCCGAGCTTTCAATGCACAGGTCTAACTGGATACTATTGAGTAATTATATAGTGTGAGGTGTCTATTCACAATTACAATTTTCAATTAAAAACACTGAAGAAATATCCAGATCAGATTCAGATTATTTGACATTTGCAGTAAAACCACGTTGGAATACATTTGTCAAAGTCACCAGTGTGCACAAGACAAGTACATAAATGAAACAAGGTTGAAGTCGATCAACAAAAACAGTTTCAACCCAAGTACAAGATCATTATAGTGCTTTCTTTAAACTGATAACAGCTTGTGGAAAGAAGCTGTTTGCATATCGAGATGTCATGCATTTCAGAGAACGATATCTTCTGCCAGAGGGAAGAAGCTGGAACATGGGTTTTCCAGGGTGGCCAGAGGAGTCACTGGTGATTCTTAGAGCTCAGTTTAAAAGTTTGGATTCATAAAGAACCTCCAGAACAGACAGCTCACAGTCCTCTTTGCAGAGCGGAGCACCTTGTTTAGAGCTCTCCTTTCTTTGGCTGTGATGTCACCAAACCACACAGTCACAGAACCAACAAGCAAACTTTCAATGATGTAGCGATAAAAGTTAAGAAGAATCTTTGAGTTAGTGGTAAATTCTTTGTTTATGTTCTCTAAGTTTATGCGGAAAGTAGAGACGCAGACGAGCTTTCATAACAACCTGGTTAGTGTTTTTGTCCCTTTTCAGGTCGTTAGACAGAGTTATACCGAGAAGTTATCAAAAACAACAGGCATGTAAGAACTATTTTTTTATATTCATACAACAAATTACAAAAGGATGTGGAGAGATACAACAGATAACGTGTGTGTGTGCGTGTGTGTGTGTTTGTGTGTGTGTGGGGAACATGTGCAACAGTATTATTCATATGTAGAATAACAAAATGACAGATAATAAAGTCATAACACTGAATAAATAATGATAAGTTTTAATCTATAGGTGGCTAATGGGATTTACAGACAAGGGACGAACTGCAGTTGAATAAAGAAATGGTACGGTAAAAAATGCTTAATGAGGTTGTTATCTTTACTCCACTGAACCACACTTTGAATTTCCGCTCTGTAAGAGAAATCATCATTATCACTGATGAGATGCAACAACAGTTTGGTGCGATTCTAGTCAATGATAATGTTTTTTTTCAATTCTGGATTCACAGAAGGTGGACTAGTCAATATTGGCAGCTTTTAAAAAAAAAAAAAAAGTGGTGTTGTTCCATTTTACTGTGTCAGTGTCGATGCCAGCGCTGAGCCTATAGTGACGTGTGGATCCGTTTTGTTACTGACAAAGCAATCAGTCTGCAAAACGTCAGATCCTCATGTCTGGTTGAACACGTTTAAAGCTGAAGCGAGTGGTCGGTCGATATGCAGCTGTATGTTAGAGCCTGTCGGACCACAAAAAAAAAAAACTTCTTCTGTTCTCAGGTGCACAGTCAGCTCTACGTGTGTGGCCCTGTCTTATCGTTCAATCACAAAGCTGGTATCTGACAGCGGTGAGTGATCTATACGCTGCTATATTGGTTTCGCTTTCAGAACACAATCAGCTATTTTCACAGGGACAGAGAAGTCTCAAAAAAGTCCAGGCTCCAGCTTCGGAAATGCTTAGCGTCTACACGGCTACGGAAAAGGATGTAGTTTTAGCGCTTGGCCAGTAGGGGGCAGTGGAACTTTACAACACGACACACACGACCCCCACCAATATAATCCCTTCCTCAACAACATCCTTCTCGGGCCACCGCAAAAACGTGAAAGAATGCACCAACATCATTCTGTATTTAACAGCAGCAGCGAAAATAGAAACTGAAACTACAGCTTTGCATGGTTTTGTTTGGACGGACAAAGGGATAAAATGTTCTCCTCCGTGTGACGCTCAACTTACATTTAGCATTAGTTGATCCACCGCCATTGTTGATTATGTTTGTTCTCGGCTACTGCGCATGTCCGAAAGTATTTGCGGGGAAGTGATGAGGTCATTGCAGCCAGAGAATTCCCCCGCCACGCAGCTCATCTGTTCTGTTCCAATCTGAAGGCCGTTTCTTAGTGCTAACGTTTTCACCTCCCTGAAACACAATCTTCATGTAAACGAAAGGTCAGTCCGATACCCGACTCTATCGGTTTACTGTCGCAGCGTCCCCGTGTAAACAGCAAGTCAATTTGTCCTGGTCCAAGTTTAGCTCCTTCTCGCTCTGGCTTCACTCACTTACATTGAAAAGTAAACTCCTTTAGCTCTGTAACCATTTGTGTCACACTCACCATTTTGGGCTAAAAAATATGTGCTTTTTAAAATATACATCTGTTAGTATTCACCAATTTTTGTGTGTGATTTTTACCAGTTGGTGTATTAATACAGCTTGAACTTTTGTACATTTTGCCATGTTTACAACCATACATTTTTTTTTCATTTTTATACCTTTAATAGGGCGACAGTAGCTCAGTAGAGCATTTGCCTTTGAACCTGAAGGTCGTGGGTTTGAGCCCACTACAGGACCTTCTAGATCGAATCCCACTGTCTGCTGTCGTTGTGTCCTTGGCAAGACACTAAACCTCTGGGAACACCAGCCACAGCAGTGTTATCATGCAGTTTTGCTGTATTTCACGTATATTACCCATGTTTTAGCCTGTATTAAAGATGAAAATAAAACTATATGAATTTTTTAATCGAGTCGAGTGGGGCGGTTGCGGCTGTAAAGTGCCAAACTGCCGTTGTGCCCTTAGGCAAAACACTTCACCCCCATTGCCTAGAATGAGTCTGGTGTGTGTGTGAATGGTTGGTGGTGGTCCGAGGGGCCGATGGCACATACTGGTTGCCTCGCTTATGTCAGTGTGCCCCAGGGCAGCTGTGGCTACAGTAGTAGTTTATCACCACCGTGTATGGAGTGAATGAATAATGACACATGTGAAGCGTCTTTGAGTGTCCAGAAAAGCGCTATATAAAACCGATGCATCATTATTATTATTATTATTATATACATTTCAGGTGGTGGGTCCACAGGAAAATGACTGCACCTTCAACACAGATATGGCCTTGAATTTTATTTTGAATTTTTCACCAAACGTTCACACACAATCAACAGAAAACGGTAAAGTGCAAGTAAAGTGATATATGATTCTGTTTAGCTTTTTGTGAGTGCACATAACAAAGCTCTTAGGATTGTCAATGACTCTTCTGGCCACCCTGGGAAAGCCATGTTCCAGCTTCTTCCCTCTGGCAGAAGATATCGCTCTCTGAGATGCAGGACATCTCGTTACGCTAACAGTTTTTATCCACAAGCTGTTATCAGTGTGAACAGAGCACTTTAATGATTTGCACTTGTTTTGAAACTGTTTTAGTCGATCGATTTCACAGTGACATTTGTTTACTGTTTTATTTGTTTTATTTTTGTCTTTTAATGTTGTTTTATGTCTGTATTTGTCTGTGTACACTGGTGACTTTTGCTAATGTATTCCTATGTGGTGTTTTTACTGCAAATG